TTTTGCAACCTTTTTCCCTTCTCAGCTTCCAACAAATTCTAATTTGGTATATATTTCACCTCCGTATTATCTGAGCTTTCAAAGAGTTGCGTTATCATTATGGCTTCTCCTTCACTTAAAAATATAACAAATGAAAAAACGTTCTGCTACTCAGAAGGAGTCAGGATATACATGAAGTTTTCACTGCAATTGCATCCCATGAAAGAAATAGGCCAAATAGCATGAGCATTTCATCAGGCTTTGCAACCTGCTTACCAGAAGCACAATATTTAACATACTCTCACATACCAAAAGTACATGAAAATGGAAAACTCCAAACTTGCTGTTGTTCTTCTCCTAAGACTTGACAGACATATAACAAAGTATTGAGAACAAAATACATAAAGGGCTTCCAAAGATCGATGGTTTATTCCTAGGAAACTTGTAGGGATTTGAATATTTCCAATCTATATGCTTCAAAAGTTGAGATGGCTTCTATCCCTTAAACAGAACTTGCATAGACACCAGTGCTTGTGATTTCTGAGGCTTAGGAGTTAGGTGTTTTCACTTCTATTTTTAATAGCTAAATTGTCAAAGGACTGAAAGAACTACACATTGGTAAGTCTAACTTTCACAAAGATAGATATATCCATTGTATGTGGCTAAATACATGCATTTCCACTGTCTCTCGAGATCTGTGCATTTGAGTGAGTAGGCTGAAGAACTGCAAACTAAGCTTTTCATTTGCCTGCACATTTTATCTGTTATATATGAAGTTATAAATCAGTTGCATAGGACAAAGTGGAGTTAAACGCCTTCATTGCTTTCCTGAAAAAAAAAATAATCTGGACTGTCATATTTTAAAAGCTAAAAATACTATGTATTTTTTAATGGAGCAGAACCTAATTTAATTAAGAAAACAATATTCAAAACCAGTCTCAAAATATTACATTATACAACAGTGCAAATCAAAAATCTGCAAAATTTCAATTTCTCAAAGAGTCTGGAATAGCATAAATCATTTTCTTAATGCTAAAAAGAAACATCAGCAAAACTTTAATTTAGCTGTTGACCGAAGTCGTATCAGTAGAACGGTGAAAATCAACAATATGCATGTGAGCACACACACACACGGACAAAGTGAATACCTTTAATAGGATAAATATTTTAAGTATTTTTAAGAGGTCGTATCTTCTACTCATGCCTCCCTAAAAACGTACTCTGTTTTCTTGCCAGAATAGCTGATACATCTTGCAGTTCTACATACAATATAGACATTCAAATATATGATGAATTGGAGGAGGGGAGCGGGATTCAATGGTTATCTGCAATTGTGCAAGCAAGTATTTTTTTCTTTCTTTTTTTAATAGGAGTTTGGTTACAGTTTGGAGCTAGTTAGGAAACATGATTTATTTATATTTTTTTTCCTTGCTTATGGGTTTACTCATGGTGCTAGTCACAATTCAATTTTGTGTGAATAACAGAAAATGGCTGTCAAAAGCATTCCTCAAATGAACGTCCATTCATAAATGAAGTTCTCGTCCCCTTTAGGCTGTTAGCGAACCTCCTATTTTTCCCCCACTTTGGCTTTTTATCCACATAGTCTTACTTAAGAACACACTGCAGCAGGAGAAATATAAGTATATTTTCAGATAGCTTTCTCTATTTTGTATATAATTCCCATCTAGCATACATGAAAAACCAAAACGAATGCAATCATTAACTTGTTACTTCACTCATTAGGAATTTTGCTCAGAAGGGTTCAGAGGGAAAGCACTTACTCTATAACAAGCATCATAGAATTGAATACAGCACTGCAAGAGCTCAACAAATGTCCCTTTACAAAGAAAGGATACATTTGCCTACATTTTGTTCCATTCACTAATGTGCCAGTTCATAGTTTTTGCCATGAATTATTAATGAACCATTGTGAACAGGCAGCAGAAAAGAAAATAAAACATGTAAAATTAAGCCTTTAAATTTTTTTTTCCCTAGGTGTAACAAGAATTCAGCTAGGAGAACTTAAGACACCACATAAAGACATGGGGATGATAACCAAAATAGTCTGTATTTACTTGTTTGGGTTTCCCAGATAGGCTTGTAAACAACTTTTAGTCTACAAGTCTTGTAGTTTGCAGACCTGCTAAGTCATCTGATGAAAAGGAAGGAACAAATGAATCCTAAGACCCATTACTTGTCCATTTTATCTTCCTGTCCGTGAACCGATTCAAAAAAGGCTCCTGGCATCATGGTGCCCAATGGGCAGAAGACAGTTATGCAGAGCAGCAAAATATTGTGAAAATAAGCTGTACAAGTAATATCTGCCAAAGGCTGACATGTTTTAGTTTCCACAGAGTTAGCAAAAAACAGAACACTGTACAATTCTATTTAGCAGATGATTCTGAGAAAAGTGATTTTGTGAAGAAGTGTAAAACAGGGAAGGGTTGTCCTTGAAGAACTCTTGCATACATATTTATATACGTGTTGTATATTTGTACAAATCAAAGTGTCACCTCATCAGCCTTGGGGGGAAAAAATAAAAGGGAGCAATTCTACAATATTGCCCACAGTAGTGTTTTATTGTCGTTGAAGCCTGTCATACTTCAGACTAAAAGCTCTGCAAACTGTACGAAGATTTTTGCCATTTTAATTGTGATATTTGGGTAGAAGTCTTAATATTCTTCTTATGTCTCAAACAACGTGATTAATAAAGCCATCTGTTCAGAAATTCAAATCATTTATGTTTATGCACTTTTTAAGAGGGATTATAGGAGGACCTCAGCTAAACTTCTAGATGTACACTTTTGTATCTTTGAAGGGGGAAACACAGAAAACTAAATGTGTATATGATATGGCTTCCCTCTGTAATTGCTCGAAGGCCAAGTTTGAGCATTCTGAAATTTGTGGTCTGGTGTCAATAATTCAAAATCTGCATGAGAATTTGTGGCCCATCTCTAGAATTACTTATTTTAAAACAATTTTTTCTCACGCCTGACATATTTACTTCAGTACTCAAGAGATCAAAAGTAAAGGCTTTGCGAGTTCATCAGTCCCAACCTCAGTAGCATCTTTCAATTGATCATTTGAAGAATAAGCACGAAACACATTTAGTGAGGTGGAATGAACTCACTGTAAGGTGGTATGCAGCTTACCGAATCTCTGTCCACTCTGAGCTTGTTTTATGAAAAAATAAAAGTTCACTTCACTCTAGAAAGGCTTGAAAACACTCCAGGCAGCAGCAGATCTTTGCTTCTGTTCATAGCTCCGAGCTGAAAAACCCATCTGTTTGGCCTCACCTTTAAACTAAATTCATGGTCATCTTACATTTTTGTTACTGTGTATTTTGCATCAATAATGTAGCAACAATTCCACAAGTTTTGTGCTACATTTCTTTTATTCTACCTATACTCTTAGGCTAAATACTACTATTCTTCGAACTATTACAGGTATCCAGTCAAAAATATTTCCCCTCAAATCCACAGGCAACCATCTCCAAATCAATGGTAGTGGTAGCCTGTTCAAAATTTGATCCCATGTATTCTTTGTGAGTGTGAATACCCCTAAAAGCTTTGCACCAGAGACCCCTATAGAGACCCCTATAGAGCTAGCTTTACCCATCTGCAAACTGCATTACATATTTTTTCAATAAAAGTTCTCTGCTAAAAATGTACAAATAAGAGCCTGAACTACTGATATCTTGTGACAGATTAAAAGGAGAAAATGCAAGAAGATATTTTGCGGATGCATTTTGACCTAAAGTAATTTCCATACCTTTTTAGCCTTATACGCATCTATGGATACAGAGCAATGTACAAAATATAAGTACCAGAAGTATCATACTTAAGTACAGTATCATACTTAAGTATCAGAAAGGGAGAGAGGCCCCAGAGGTTGAATGGAGAATGAACAGAAGGCATGCCTACCACAGAGCATACGACTCTGCTTAAAATCCTCCTCATACATAACCTTCACAAATTACCAGAACTGGTCCCACAGCATTAGCAAGTGGCTGCAAAACCCTTCTTCTAATCTCTAGAAAAGTTTCCAATAAAAAGTCTGTGGCAGCCATCTGAAAGGCTCTTCAGCATTAGTAAGGCTGGTATGTTAAGTACATTCAGGGCGTACATTGTGGGGGAAACTCTTCTAGTGAATTTTGCTTTTAATACATGCTCAAATGTGGCCTACTAATATTGGCTGACTTCTCCAAACTCAGACCGAGGCTGAGGCCTTCTCTAGATGTAAATTAAATTTTCTTGCTCTTTTGACCTACAAACCTACTAGGAAGTATGTTCCTCTCTCCCAAAATTAATGTGACTTTTGAAGATTTGTGCATGCCAAAGCTGCTTCACTTTCTGCCCAAGTGAAGCCAGCGTATGCACCACCATGAGTAAATATATAAAGGTAAAAATGACTTCATTTTACCTGTGCCTAGCAGAGAGAAGCATGAAGGCAGAGACACAACAAGAAGGACCCTATCCTTTTTCTCATCATCTATGCCCCCTATTTCTAGCCTGCCTGGTATGCCGTTTACTGCAAACCAACCACCCAACATGCTGTTACAAGCAACATGGCTCTAATTTTACCTAACTAAATTAAAAGCCTGTCTTGTGCAGATTACCACAAGTGACTAAATTTTCATTATTGTATCAAATTTCCCCTTTTAAATCACGAGGAAAGCCACCCAGGTGAGGGCTGAGAGCCTTACTTAATTACGAGTTGTTGTTCAGCTGCAGCAGTCACTCCAGCAGGAGAAGAGGAGGCCACGCTGACAGCAATGGCTGTCCTCACCTCCTCCTCCTCCCAGCCCTCTTTATAGCACAGCAGTTCAACACAGAGAGTCCTGCCATGCCGTTCACAGGCAGCCATGATTCCAGCCATGGTTAGGAGGACAGACATGGCTGAGGTCCTCATGCAGATACCCTCCTGCTACCAAAACGGTGGGGAATCCACCACAGAAACAAAGTTCTCTTTCCTCAAAAGAGCTTTAAAATGGCTCCTCATAAAATAAAATCCTGCCTTACCTGTAACAGGGAGCTGTGCCTGCAGGATGGCAAAGATCACGATCCTCCTCCACTTCATCTTGCTCGCCCGGGCGGTGCTGGGGAGCAAGAGGCCGCAGACTCGGGGTGAGGAGAAGAGGCACCTCCACAGGCTTTGCTCATCTGCTGGCTCCCGCAGGAAGCTCACCTCCTATGAGGGCTTTCAGGGTCCACCTGCCGGCAGCAGTGCCAAAGCACGCGCCTTCCTCTGCCTTGCAGCCAGGCAGCCTCTGAGGTCTGGGGTTTATGTTCTTGGTATTGATGTTTGGGGTTTCCTTTTGTATTTTTTTCTTTCTTTTCTCTTTGCAAGATGGTTTTTGGCGGGGCTTTTTTCCAGTTTGCCTGATGGTTCCTAGGATATCCCAGTCAGCAGCTGCTGATCTCTATAAGGGGCCTAGAAAGGATATATGGTATCAAATTTGGCCTGACTTCAAAAGGGATACTATACAACTATGTCCAATGTGCAGTATGGCACAAACAGAAGTTTAAAATTGGAAGTTGTAGTCACTCTTGAACAAGTGGCTGGCTAGACCAGTAAAGATGTAAAGTTCATTTCTAAATCTAATTGAAATATGGCCTTACCACAAGCAACTGGAAGTGGCTGCACTCTCAGGGCTATGGGGTAGCCAGCATCAGGGACAGCTGGGCTCTGCCTGTCCTTGCAGACAGCGTCCACAGGACATAAAACACCAGCACAACTGGTGCTGCCTGGCTCATTTCAGTTGTACCTGTCCATGAAATGGAGATGCCTTTTGATGTGAACACACCGCATCTTTGTATTTCGAAAGTGTCTCAGCGCATGCAGAGCTCTGGAGCCATTTTGTCCTCTGAAGCCACCGCAGCCTGTAGGGAGGACAGCCTGCGTCATCTCTGCAGGAAAGCACAGTGTGCATCTCCTCCTTGCTCGGCTTGAAACAAAAAGCTTCGCAGCCTCTAGGTATGCATGCCACTCCTACCTACTGAGTGGGCCACAAGATTCAGCCTTCTTGCTGCTTGAAGCTGTCCTCTAGTGACAGATCCTGAGGCAGACTGGCACGCCCCAGGAGTGGCACGAGTAGTTTGAAGGTGACCGCATTCTGAGAGCTAACGGGGCTTTTCAGCCCCACATTCTAGGCTGGTCTGTTAACACGGTCCTCAGAGCGACACAAAACCAAGCAGGTCTGCCTGGCAGCCGTGCTGGTGAAGCCGTGTTTCCTACAGGTCCACCCACGTTCTCCCTCCAGCATGATGACTGCAGTGCCTCCCATGCTGCCCCCTTGGCTCTCTCGTGCCTGCCTCTGTGGGGCCAGGCGGCTGGGCACGCAGCCCCAGGTAGCACATGTACACGCTGACTAACTAACCCAGCAGCCCAGTGTGAAAGTGAAAATGCCCTGGTTTTTCTGCTGCTCTGAGGGATCTAACAAGATCGCTGCAGCTAGCTACACAAAACCACGAGTAGAACAGGTTACATTTGAGTCTCCTTTGTTTAGCTGGATTGATGTTGACCCCCCGGGTCAAAAGTGGTTGGGGTGGTGGTGAGCAGCAGGCTGAGCCAAGAGAATCACAACGCTTGTTTCTTTGCGAAGCCAAGCTAGTGATCAAATCAGGTGGTATTAAAGCAGCACTCTGTAGGCAGCGGTGGATAACCACACAGGCAACAGAATAAGCACGCTTTAGCAGTAACACAGCAAATGTCACTCTGGAGAACGCATCATACTATGAGCTGGAAAAACACAAACTGATTTGTGTTAACAATATTAAATCATTTCATTATGCTTTTACCTGAGGACCTCGCCATGTTTTTCAAATTAGCCTTACTAAAGCCAGGGCAGTTAAGCTTTTACAGATAAAGAAATTAAGTCTTAAGGGAGACAGTGAAAACAAGGCACTAGAACTCAAAGAGAACCAGGAATCAGGGACAACTGGGACTTGTTTGGCTTTTCAGTTTTGGGGGCTTTTTGTGTTGGTTTTCTTTATTAAAAAAAACAAAACAAAACCCCACAATTTTTAAATGCATGAGAAAAAAAGCAAGGGGAGAGCCAAGGTGTGCTTAGGGGTACCTTCTCCTCAACACTTCTCATTGCATTATTATTAAGCAGCAGCAGCTAATAAAAGGATTCATTTAGGGTAATAGAGGGGAGAAGAAACCCAGCATAATGAGATTAAATTAAGAAAGGTGAAATCTGGAGTTTCAGAAAAATCTTCCTGAGGAGATAATAGACAGAAGTAATTTCTCCAGCAAAGCGTTAGGGCATTTATATGAAAATCATACCACTTGACACAGTGATGCCAACTCTCACTTTGTAAGAAATCTCACATTATTGTGCTTTTTTCAAATGTGAACAAATAAAAATACTCGCTTTTATTAACAGAAATAAAAAGTACATTTTAGAAAACTGTGAATTAGAAAAGCTTGAAAACACAACTTTTATGCACCTTAAAGCCTAAAACTCAGCCTCCCCCCATCAAAATACAACTGGCTCAACAGAAGACTACTGAGTGTTTACAATAGTAATACTATTAATACATTTCAGGATCAGAGCTTACGCTGGGAGGAAGCACAAGTATCTCAATGAATAATTACCTTTTTCCCCCCCCCCCGCGTTTCTAATTCTTAGAAAAGAAAGAGAAAGAGAAACGTGCATCCCCAGGAACAGGATTGGTGATAACTATTTCCCAACTAATTCTTAGAAAAGAAAGAGAAAGAAACGTGCATCCCCAGCATGTACAGGAACAGGATTGGTGATAACTATTTCCCAATAGTATGAAGACAACTGGCAGGGTGAGAGTTATTGTGCATATAAGATGTAAGGATTTATAATCTTTTGAAAGAAAAGTAAATTGAAGTTCTTGGAAGAACGAGACCAAAAAATCCATCACCTTGCTGTCTGAAGTAATGAAGGCTAGTACACTGATATAACAGCATTGTGCTTTTATTTAATAATTATTATATATTGTACCAGCCAATACCAAAATTATTAGTATTGCTAGTACCAAAACCTAATGCTGCATGCCATTCTGTGATACCTAGACAGTACTGCTGAGCCTCTGATCTCCCCCAGCCTTGGGGAGGTTTTCTTTGTGGCTCTTCTACCCCAAAAGCTGCAAAGGAAGGCTGAAGATGGGCTCTGACTCACCGCCAGGCAGAAGGCAAAGCACTGCCCATGAAAGCCACCATGCATTGAAGCTGAAAGAGGTGTCATTAGTCCCAGAAATGGTTGTGCTCGGGTACACGGTCTATATTCCAACGCGAGCCAGATAAAGCCCTTTCTGTCCATTTCCCCGTGTGACAGAAGATTGGCTGAAATAAGGAATTAGTAAGAGGAAAGAGACCACTGCTCCCACTGCAGGCTGCCTAAATCTCACTGACACCTTATCCAAAAGCTAAAATAATATCATACCAGTTATTGATATTTTTGGGTAACAGTATTTTCAGAGGAGCAAATGGCACTGCTCATCACTATTCTGCTGACCCCTGTCTCCTCCTGTTATTGATCATAGCTTCTCCCTCCGGCAGAAAGCCAGCAAATTATCACTTTGAATAAAGAGTTGAGGCCAAAGGTAAGGAAAAGGAATGAAGAGCTGTATAAAAAAGGGAGATTAATGGCAACAGTAGATAGACACACTGGGAGAACAGCAGTTGGGCCAGTGTGTTTTGATGTCTAGATAGGGAAAGGTCAGAGAAATAGAGTATATGGACTTCATTTAGAAGTGTGTGTAGAGTCAGAAAAAGGCTTTGCATGACAGTGCCCCTAGAAATTCTCTCCTCCCCATCCCTCAGCTTTTGCAATAAGGCAAGCTTATCATTATAATCTAAATACAATGAAAGTATACAAAAGAGCAATCACGCTTGTATTATGAGTTATTCTCACAAGAAGCACAGCATGGGAGATGCAAATCACATGCAGTCGAGGAGTACAGAAAAAGATAAAGGGGAAGTGGTCTCTTCTCTAGGAAAAAGCTTTTCTGTGTTCATACAGCTTGTAATTACACGATGAGGAATTATTTTCTTAGAGTGTCACCTTCTTTTCAGCCTATTCAGTCTTTGCATCTCTAGGAACTACATAGCACAGTAAAAACTTCAGCACCTCCTGCCCACGTTGTGCATTAGGCAATCTCGTAAGTGCATTTTTACAGTTTAAACCATACTGATATTTCAGTTTACTCACTTCAGGCAGATTGTAAGAACTTTGTTAACACTGGACTAGAAATGAATGCCAACACTAGTTCAGCTGAACCAGCAGCTATTTTTCTCAATACAGACAAGGCCACAGTGGAGACATAAAACCCTCCCTGCTGGTTTAAGAAAACTCAGCTAAACTTGACTCTTTATCTAAACGTACGGGTGGAGGAAAGCGTATTTCAAGAATTACATGCACTGGGAAGACTGCAAGATTTGATCTATGGTTCCTGAAACAGGATGGGTCAGGGAACTGAAGTGGTCCCCAAGTACAACTCAGTTATGTTTAACACTGGTTAAGGTGCGGCTCATTATCTGTAAGGATAACATCTTTCATAAAATAGACAAGGTATGCATTCAATTGGTTCTGTGCATCAATATGCCATTCTTTCTCTGGACACAAGAAATCCTGGAACAGCTCTAATGCAAGGGGCTGATTCATCCCCAGACGCATCCCCTTTTCATGCTTACTGGTCATGCTTTGACTGTACCATTAAAAAAAGCACCAGGGTTTGCAGGTTTAACAGGAAATAAATGAAAACTAAAAAACAAACCCGCACCACAGTCAAGCCGGGGATTAAAAAAGTAACTACACACTGCCCTCTGGCTCACGTATTGCTACCACAGAGAGCTTGCCTGTAATCATCACCGCAGACTGCTGGGACTAAGAACAGGTCAGTTATCGAAAGTTCTCCTAAGCCTATTTGATACAGTTAGTACTTGCAGGCAAAATTAATACCTACATCACCTGATGGAGGAGCTGGCCAACTTTAAAGACAGAAGAATCCAGACAGACTGTAGAGTCTTGCCCCTGATCCAGCAGGGAGTGACAACTGTAGTGCCAGAATTAATTCAACAAGTATCAAAATTGTTTTTGGACATGTTCACACAAAGATAATCGGTGTTAAATAACCAACAATTTTCTCTGGTGAGCAAGCTGTAGCCTCCAGAAAGGCATGCCATTCACGCAGTAGACAATATACTGAAAAGAAAAAGTCTGCTGTTTACAGTGTGTAAGCCCACAACTTTTATTGACAAAATGTTGCGGACTGACAGTCCTACATTGCTTTGCTGCATTTCAATGCACTGTAGTGCCTTACAGTGAAGCTTCGCTTTGCTATAATTGGGTTCAACTGTGCTAATCCCTTCGGAATGCAGCAATTAATACTTATTTAGTGATAATTGCTGCATTCCAAGAGGATTAGTCCCTGCCCTGCACTTTTGCCACCATTGCAAACAGAGAGCTGGAAAGAAGACAGTGTATAACTACAGGTCTTGCTTTGCAGCTCCCAACAGGGAGACAAGAGAAGTTGGTCTCGCTACAACTGCTCCCCTGTGCGTGTGAAAATACTGCTTTTCCAAGGAAAAACCACTTGACTGTCACTACTTCTTGCAGCTGCATTGTGCAAATAGAAACCTGGACACATCCAATGAGGAAAAAAAAAAAGAAAACAGACACCTGCGTAGTACTATGAAGACAAAGAGAGCCATGAGTGTATGTTCCCTATGGGAGATGATAAACAGGCCGTGATCCAGTGTAAGAACGAATTCCTATTCATTATTTTGGAGTTTTTTGTGACTAGCAGCCCCCTGCTCCCTCTATGGTCTTAAAATTTTCAGTGCAACATGAGTTTTGGAAACCTATAAAGGAGATGTTAGTAGAAACTTAAAATGCACCCTCTCTGAATACCCAGTTTT